TGCATTATAAATAAGAACTTGTTTTAAATGTAAGAACACCTTTACAAAATTCAAGATGTACTTCTAACATTGCTTACATGCATCTGCATTCTTTGAATTGTAGATTTACAGAATATGCATGCTTTGTATTCAAGCTTTTCAGCATATACACGCTTTATTTTGCATGCATGAAATAACTCTCACTGGAAAAGAAAAGTTACAACATATGAATTCTTTGAATTGACGTTTTACAGCATATGCATGCTTTATTCTGCAAGCATGGACTATCAGCTCAATTCAAGTGAATACAGCGTATGCATACCTTGTTTTGCATGCATGAAATAACTCTCATAGGAAAAGAAACTTTATTTGAATTGAAGTTTTAGACAATATGCATGATTTGTATTGAACTTTTACGGCATAGTCATGCTTTCTATTACAAGCATGAACTATTTCAGCTCAACCAACTACAGCATATGCATGCTTTTGCTTTGCGTGCATGAACTCATCTCTATTAAATACAGCATATGCTTTGCATGCATGAACCAACTCAACTGAAGTGAATACAGCGTATGCATGCTTTGTAATGCATGCATGAAATAACTCTCGTTGGAAAAGAAGATTTATTTGAATTTAAGTTTTAGACAATATGCATGCTTTGTATTGAAATTTTACATCATATGCATGCTTTCTATTGCAAGCATTAACTATTTCAGCTCAAATAACTACAGCATATGCTTTGTATTGCATGAATGAACTAGCTCAGCTCAAGTGAATACAGCGTATGCATGCTTTCTTTTGCATGCATGAACTAACTCAACTCAACTAACTACAGTTTTGCAAATGCATATATTGGATATCTATATTACATGCATGAATTAACTCAACTCAAGTAATTACAGCATATTCGTGCTTTGTATTGCATGCATGAACTAACTCAACTCAATAAATACAGCATATACATGCTTTGTTTTGCATGCATGAAATTACTCAAACTGGAAAAGAAGCTTCACAGCAAATGCATTCTTTGAATTGAAGTTTTACAGCATATGCAACCTTTGAATGAAAGGTTAACAGCATATGTATGCTTTGTAGTCCAGCTTTAAAGCACATGCATGCTTTGTAATGCCACGAGACACTAACATTCTCTTTCTGTCCATAAAAGCTCGCACATATTCTTGATATACATCAAACCTGAGAACAATGTTATATGCATTGAAATTGAGAACTTCTAACATTGCGCGCATTAATTAAATCTAGCTGTAAATTAAGCTTTACAGCATTTGCGTTCTTTAAATTGAGACTTTACAGAATATGTATGCTTTGTTTTGCATGCATGAAATATCTCTCATCGGAAAAGAAGATTTATAACACATGCTTTCTTTGAATTGAAGTTTTACACAATATGCAGACTTTGTATTGAAGTTTACAGCATATTCATGCTTTCTATTACAAGCATGAACTGTTTCAGCTCAACTAACTACAGCATATGCATGCTTTTGCATTGCATGCATGAACTCATCTCTACTAAATACAGCATATGTGCATTGCATTGCATGCATGAAATAACTTAACTCAAGTGAATACAGCGTATGCATATAACATTCTCTTTCTGTGCATAGAAGCAACATTTTCTTTATATGCATCAAAGCTGAGAACAATGTAATATGAATTGAAAATTCAGGTGCTGATCCACCATCTGATCTGGATACAGACTGGATCTGGTGGCCTCGGAATAAGAAAGAAAGAGATGGTCTTAATCCTCTTAGGTTGGTGCCGCTCTTCTCTCTAGAAATATGGCACATAGTCTTAGAGTTTGCACTTGACTAACTGGGGCCCGGTCAGGAAGCAGACAGACTGGCTAAACCGACCGTCTGCTAGCCACCTCACGTCTCAGAAATCAGTTCCTTCTCAGCACATAGAGACCCTTTTACATAGATATCTCACTATAGAGGCTGTCTGTTCCCTGAACTAGAAAATACAAAAAACGTCCAAACCAATTTAAGAGTAACAATTGAATTGATGTTCAACAAATAAAAGACAGATGTAATATGGATAAACAAATGCTAAAGCTTGGCTTATTGAATATCAGGTCCCTTTCTACAAAAGCACTTTTTGTAAATGATATGATCACTGATCATAACCTAGATGTGCTGTCTTTGACTAAAACCTTATGATTACATTATTTTAACTGAGTCTAGCCCCAACGATTAGTTATAAACATGAGCCACTTCCAAAAGGTAAAGGGGGAGGTGTTGCTACAATTTATAACAATATTTTCAGTATTTCTCAGAAAGCGGGCTTCAAGTATAACTCGTTTGAAGTAATGGTGCTTCATATAACATTATCCAGAGAAACAGGTGTTCATGATAGCCCTGTGATGTTTGTACTGGCTACTGTATACAGGCCACCAGGGCACCATACATACTTTATTAAAGAATGTGCTGATTTTATATCTGAGTTAGTGCTGGCTTGCAGATAGTTTTATTTGTTGTTGATTTTAATATCCATGTTGATAATGAAAAAGATGCATTGGGATCAGCATTCATAGATATTCTGAACTCTGCTGGGGTAAGATAAACAGGTAACGTTAAAAAGATAAACTCATTGTCAAAATCATACCCTATATTTAATACTGTCACATGGAATTAATGTGTTAACGGTGTTGAAATTATGCAGCCAAGTGATGATATCTCAGATCATTATAATGATGTCTTTTGCAAACATCATATAACTAAAACTGTAAATTCTACTCCTTGTTACAAGTATGGTAGAATCATCACTTCTACCACAAAAGACAACAGAAACTATGGACTCTCTCTCTTCTAGCATTTTAGATACGGTTGCTCCTATACGCTAAAGGAAGATTAAGGAAAAGAGTCCAACACCGTGGTATAATGAGCACACTTAAAGAGAGCAGCCCGGAAAATGGAGCGCAGCTGGAGGAAAACAAAACTAGAGGTATTTCGTATTGCTTGGCGGGAAAGAACCCTATCCTACAGAAAAGCATAAAAAACTGCTAGATCTGATAACATTTCGTCTCTTTTAGAAGAAAACAAACATAACCCCCAGGTATTTATTCAATACAGTGGCTAAATTAACGAAAAATAAAGCATCAACAGGTGTTGACATTTCCCAACAGCACAGCAGTAATGACTAATGACTTGTACTACTTTACTTCTAAGATCGATTCTATTAGAGATAAAATTGTAACCATGCAGCCGTCAGCTACAGTATCGCATCAGATAGTGTGCTATAGATCCCCTGAGGAACCATTCCACTCATTCTCTACTATAGGAGAGGAAGAATTGTATAAACTTGTTAAATCATCTAAACAAACAACATATCATCTAAACAAACATGTATGTTAGACCCTATTCCATCGAAGCTCCTAAAAGAGGTGCTTCCAGAAGTCATAGATCCTCTTCTGACTATTATTAATTCATCATTGTCATTAGGATATGTCCCCAAAACTTTCAAACTGGCTGTTATTAAGCCTCTCATCAAAAACCTCAAGGCTCAGTACTAGGGACGTTACTCTTCACGCTTTACAAGTTACCCTTGGGAGATATCATCAGGAAACACAGTGTTAGATTTCACTATGCTGATGCTACTCAGCTCTATATATCTTCGCGGCCCGGCGAAACATACCAATTTGAAAAACTAGCGCAATGCATAGTCGATATAAAAAACTGGATGATGAGTAATTTCTTACTGCTAAATTCTGAAAAAACATAGGTGTTAATTGTAGAACCAAAGCCTCTGCATGTAATAACCTAGAACACTGTCTAAGACTTGATGGCTGCTCTGTCAATTTTTCGTCATCAATTAGAAATTTTTGATAGCAAAATTTTGATAGACACTATTTTGATAGTGCTATTTGATAGCAATTTTTCCTTCGAAAGCCACGTTTCTAGTATTTGTAAAACTGCATTTTTCCACCTCAAAAATATATCTAAATTACGACCTATGCTGTCAAAGCTAAATGAAGAAATGTTAATTCATGCGTCTATGACCTCAAGGTTAGATTATTGTAATGCTTTATTGCGTGGTTGTTCTGCACGCTGAGTAAACAAACTCCAGCTGGTCCAAAATGCAGCAGCTAGAATTCTTACTAGAACCAGGAAGTATGACCATATTAGCCCGGTTCATTCAACACTGCACTGGCTCGCTATTATACATGTATAGATTTTAAAAAAATCTTGCTTACTACTTATAAAGCCCTGAATGGTTTAGCACCTCAGTATTTGAAGGAGCTCTTATTGCATTATAGTCCTCCACGTCCGCTGCGTTCTCAAAACTTTGCCATTTTGATTATACCTTTAATATCAAAATCAACTGTGGGAGGTAGATCCTGTTCCTATTTAGCGCCCAAACTCTGGAATAAGCTACCAAACATTTTTCGGGAGGCAGACACACTCTGTCAATTTAAATCTAGATTAAAGACCCATCTCTTTACATAACACTAACACATTTCTAATATTAAAATCCGTTACAGGATTATTAGACTGCATTAATTAGGCCAACCGGAACCGGGAACACTTCCTATAACTTGCTACTTCGTTAGAAGAATGGCATCTATGCTAATATTAGTCTGTTTCGTTCTTATTCTGAGGTCACCGTAGCCTCCAGATGCAGTCTGTATCCAGATCAGATGGTCACTGCAGTCACCCGGATCCAGTACATTTCCAGCCCAGATGGTGGATCTTGAGATGATTTCGACAGCCCTGAATGTCAGCGGAGACCAGGACAACGTGATGAGCTCCAGAGACAGAGCCCCAGTGAAGACATTGTCTCCTAGACGGCCACCGGGACAAGACCACAGGAACCAGATGAGTCCTCTACACAATGTGACTTTGCTGCAGCCTGGAACTAAACAGCTGGTTTCGTCTGGCCAGAGGAGAACTGGCCCCTTGACTGAGCCTGGTTTCTCCCAAAGTTTTTTCTGTCACCGATGGAGTTTTGGTTCCTTTGCCACTGTCGCCTCTGGCTTGCTTGCTTAGGGCACTATACCAACGGTCATGGAAAAGCCTATCAAAAGACTTAGATGTTGCTACACCGCAGACCTTAAAGACTCAAAACAGGTGGAACAACTCAGGCAAGAGACAGTCAGTGGACTCAAGAGAATCAATGGTACAGCTCTTCCGGGGAAGTTGAAGCTGTGGTGCTTCCAATTTGGTTTCTTTTGCCACGGTTTATGTGGCCAATTTCCATATACGAGCTCACTTTATGTCACGCCAAGCACCTGTAGAGACTGGTGAGTACACAATTGAGGAAATGGATTGGGCTATCAAGATGTATTGTTATAAAGCAAGATGTTTAATATTGAAGTTTTACAGCATATGCATGCTGTCTTAAGCATTAATTAACTATCTCAACTCAATTAACTACAGCACATGCGTGCTTTGTTTTGCATGCATGGAAAAACTCTCACTGCAAAAGAATATTTACAAGCTATGCATTCTTAGAAGTTTAACACAATTGTCATGCTTTGTATTTAAGTTTTACAGTATATGAACATTTTATATTGAAGTTTTACAGCATATGCATGCTTTGCATTGCAAGCATGAACTAACAAAAGTAAATACAGCGTATACATGCTTTGTATTGCATGCATGAACTAACTATAGCAGGAAACGCAGCTTTACAGCATGCTTGGTTTCTATTGCAAGCACGAACTATCTCAACTCAACTAACTACAGCATATGCATGCTTTTACATTGCATGCATAAACTAACTCAACTCTAGTAAATTCAGTATTTGCATTGCATTGCAAGCATGAACTGTCTCAACTCAAGTAAATACAGCGTATGCATGCTTTGTACTGCATACATGAACTAACTATAGCTGTAAATAAAGCTTTACAGAATATGCGTTCTTTGAATTTAAGTTTTACACCATATGCATGCTTTGTTTTGCATGCTTGAAATAACACTGACTGGAAAATAAGATTTACACAATATGCTTGCTTTGTATTGCATTTATGAACTATCTCGACTCAACTAATCTCAGTTTATGCATGATTTGTATTGGATGCATGATCTAACACAACTCAAGTAAATGCATCGTATGCATGCTTTGTATGGCATGCATGAACTAACTTTAGCTGGAAAAGAAGCTTTACAGAATATGCATGCTTTGTATTCAAGCTTTACAGCATATGCATGCTTTGTTTTGCATGCATGTAATGAATCTCATTGGACAATAAGGTTTATAACACATGCTTTCTTTGACTTGAAGTTTACACAATATGCATGCTTTGTATTGAAGTTTTACAGCATATGCAGTATGCTTTGCAAGCTAACTACAGCATATGCAATGTATTTATTGCATGCATGAACTAACTCAACTCAAGTAAATACAGCATATGCATGCTTTGTACTGACAAAAGAAGCTTTACAGCAAATGCATATCCTTTGTATTGCTCGCTACTACACATGTATAGATTTTAAAAAATCTTGCTTACTACTTATAAAGCCCTGAATGGTTTAGCACCTCAGTATTTGAACGAGCTCTTATTGCAGACCTGCAGCATTTGCATGCTTTGCATAGCACGCATGAACAATCTCAACTCAAGTAAATACAGCATATGCACACTTTATTTGGCATGCATTTAATAACTCTCATTGGAAAAGAACCTTTACAAAACGATACATCCTTTGAATTGAAGTTATACACAATTTGCATGCTTTGTATTGAATTTTTACACTGACTTAAGTGATTACAGCGTATGCATGCTTTGTTTTGCATGCATGAAATAACTCAGCTCAACTAACTGCAGTTTTGCAAATGCATATATTGGATATCTATATTGCATGCATGAACTATCTCAACTCAAGTATATACAGCATATGCACACTTTATTTTGCATGCATTTAATAACTCTCATTGTAAAAGAACCTTTACAAATTTGTGTTGCATACATGAACTAACTTAACTCAATAAATACAGCATATGCATGCTTTGTATTGCATGTATGAACTAACCATAGCTGGAAAAGAAGCTTTACAACATATGCATGCTTTACAGTCTAGCTTTAATGCAAATGCATGCTTTGAATGCTAAGAAACACTGACATTATCTTTCTGTGCATATAAGCTCGGAGATATTCTTGATATGCATCAAACCTGAGAACAATGTATATAAATTTAAATTAAGAACTTGTTTTAAATGTAAGAAACATCTTCACAAAGTTCAAGATGTACTTCTAACATTGCGTGCATGAATTAACTCTAACTGTAAATTACGCTTTACAGCAGTAGCTTTCTTTTAATTGAAGCTTTACCGCATATGCTTTATTTGTATTGACGTTTTACAGCATATGCAAGTTTTGCTTTGAATGCATGAAATAACTCATTGGAAAAGAGGATTTACACAATTTGCATGCTTTGTATTTAATTTTTACAGTATATGAATGCTTTATATTGAAGTTTTACAGCATATGCATGCTTTGTTTTGAATGCATGAAATAATTCTAATTGGAAAAGAGGATTTACAACACATGCATTCTTTGAATTGAAGTTTTACACAATTTGCATGCTTTGTATTGAAGTTATACTACAGCACATGAATGCTTTCTCTTGCAAGCATGAACTATCTCAACTAGTTAGCATATACTAACTACATCATATGCATGCTTTTGCATTGCATGCATGAATTCAACTCTTGAACATACAGATGATGCATTGCATTGCATGCATGAACTAACTCAACTCAAGTGAATACAGCGTATGCATACTTTGGGTTGCATGCATGAAATAACGCTCATTGGTAAAGAACATTTATAAAACGTGCTTTCTATAAATAAAGTTTTACACAATATGAATGCTTTGTATTGAAGTTTTACAGCGTATGCATGCTTTGTTTTGCATGCATGAACTAACTCAACTCAACTAACTACAGTTTTGCAAATGATTATATTGGATATCTATATAGCATGCATGAACTAACTCAACTCAATAGATGCAGCATATGGATGCTTTGTATTGCATGCATGGACTAACCATAGCTGGAAAATAAACTTTACAACATATTCATGCTTTACAGTCTAGCTTTAAAGCAAATGCATCCTTTGAATGCTAAGAAACACTGACATTATCTTTCTGAGCATATAAGCTCGAAGATATTCTTGATAATGTATCAAACCTGAGAACAATGTATATGCATTGAAATTAAGAACTTGTTTTAAATGTAAGAAACACGTTTACAAAGTGCAAGCTGTACTTCTAACATTGCTTACATGCATCTGCATTCTTTGAATTGTAGATTTACAAAGTATGCATGCTTTGAATTCAAGCTTTTCAGCATATGCATGCTTTGTTTTGCATGCATGAAAAACACTAACTGGAAAAGGAAAGTTAGAACATATGAATTCTTTGAATTGAAGTTTTACAGCATATGCATGCTTTATTCTGCAAGCATGGACTATCAGCTCAACTGACTACAGCATATGCATTATATATATTGCATGCATGGACTAAATCAACTCTACTAACTACATCATATGCATGCTTTTGCATTGCATGCATGAATTCAACTCTTGAAAATACAGATTATGCATTGCATTGCATGCATGAACCAACTCAACTAAAGAGAATACAGCGTATGCATGCTTTGTTTTGCATGCATGAAATATCTCTCATTGGAAAAGAAGATTTATAACACATGATTTCTTTGAATTCATGTTTTATAGAATATGCAGACTTTGTATTGAAGTTTTACAGCATATTCATGCTTTCTATTACAAGCATGAACTGTTTCAGCTCAACTAACTAAAGCATATGCATGCTTTTGCATTGCATGCATGAACTCATCTCTACTAAATACAGCATATGTGCATTGCATTGCAGGAAATAACTTAACTCAAGTGAATACAGCGTATGCATAATAACATTCTCTTTCTGTGCATAGAAGCAACATATTCTTATGCATCAAACCAGATCTGCCGCCCGCAGTTGATTTTGATATTCTAGGTATTATCAAATTGCCAGAGTTTTAAAAAACGCAGCAGACGTGGAGGACTATAATGCAATAAGAGCTCGTTTTAATACAGAGGTTCTAAATCATTCAGGGCTTTATAAGTAATTAGCAAGATTTCAAAATCTATACGATGTTTAATAGGGAGTCAGTTTTCACAGAACTGGGCTAATATGTTCATAGTTCCTGGTTATATTAAGAACTCTAGCATGGTTATTACATGCAGAGGTTTTAGGTCCGATAATTAACACCTCTGTTTTTTCAGAATTTAACAGTAAGAAATTACTCGCCATCCAGTTTTTTATATCGACTATGCATTCCGTTAGTTTTTCAAATTGGTATGTGAAACCATTATAGAAGATAACATACGAAGATAACATTCTCTGATGTTGTCTTCGCCCAGCCGCAGATGCGTCTCTGTAGTTTTTGTCCTGTCGGTCCTATTGTTCCAACATCTGTTGTGCTGTTCTCCTGGCTCATTGTCATTTCCATTCCTAAGTCTGTTACCGTTTGGTCTGTCCATGAGTCATCTTGCGCCCCTGCTCTCGCAGTCTCCAGGGGTATTCTTCTTGTGGTTTTCATGTCGAAAATGAGTGGACCCTCTGCACTATGCAGTGACGGCTCCTGCCGGCATGGGTAGCTAACCCATGCCAGCCCTGGTGGGGTCTATTCCCTTCTGTCAGCAGTCTTTCCAAGCTGTCACTAGGTCTTTCCCTGGTTCTCAGGAGCCCTTTCACAGCAGTCACTGGTTTAACCAGGTAGTTTAGTTTGCATGTTAGGACTAGGTGCTATGATCCCAAAATGTAGCACCATTTAGCCGCACTATAGAACATTTTCTCCTTCGCTGTGAGTAGAACAAAGCGAGACGCAGCAATTGTTACGCTCTGATGTTGGTTCAGGAAGAATCCAGGATCATGGGCCTAATCCATGTCCGTGGTCCTTGCCTCAATACCTAATAATCAGTCGTGAATTTACAGTTGCTTTATGCGTGACTATAAGAAAAGGACTAGTATGGTAAAATGGATAGATGAAGACGGTACAATTCTTCACTGTAGTCATCGGGTGGGGATGCTTGACGTTTTGATAATATACTGTGCTGTATCTTATCTTTCATGGATTATGCCAGTTCCCTGGACCTTTCCTCTCACGCCCAACTC